TGTTTGATTATTTTCCAATGTATTGTCCAATATATTTACCAAGAAAAATCTTCCAATAATTTTCCAATATATTTACTGAGAAAAATCTACATATAAGTGGATCCACAGAGTTCAAACCCGTGTTGTTCAAAGGTTTGCTGTATATAATAAAAGGCAGTGAAGAAAGGAAAGCAACCAAGACAGTAAAAATGAGATAAAATATTTTAAAATAGAAAGAACGTTGTTAAAGTGGAAGACAGGCAAAGAAGATCCAACATACATATAATTAGAGCCCCTGAGAAGAAAAGCAAAACAATTAGACCACAACTAATACTTAAAACCATAATCTAAAAAAGGGACCCATTGTATACCTGGGAAAACTGACCCAAAATGACTAGACATATTCTAAGAAATACATTAGACTGTAAGGACAGAAAAATGCCCAGGGCTCTCAAGCAGAAAAATGAAATTACTTATAAAGCGAAGAAAATTAGGCTGGCATCAGACTTCTCAAGAGTATCACACAAAGCAAGGCAACCGTGATGCAGCATTTTCAAGAAATTTAAGGAAAGAAAACAAGCCAAGAAAATTAAATTCAGCCAAATTGTCCTTCAAATATCAAAGGTACAGAATGATAGTCTGAATATGCAAGAATCCAGGGAACACTGTACACACATGTACTTCCTGGAGGAATCAGCTAGAGGATAGGTTTCATCCGACCAAGTAGAAACTGGCAAAAGAACTGATCACAGTTACTTGAGAGACTTAATTGTAGAGTTAAGACTAAAACAAGTGCGGGGTTATATATAGAAGAATAGCATATAAATATCATATGTTCTGATAAAGTGGAAAGAAAGCAATTAACAAAGTGAGAGGAGAAAAGGGAAGGTACAATACGATCACTGACTTGTATAGTTAATAGATGAGTCAAAGGATATCGTTTAGAACTAAGAACAGATTTTAAGTTAGAAAAAATGGGAGACTAAGGGCACTATAAGAGGAATAAATACAAAAGTAATCACTAAAACAAAAATATAAACACTCTTAAAAAACAAAAGAAGTTTTAAAAAATAGAAAAGACACACCAAATAAACATAATTAAAACATACAATGACAGAATTGAGAACACACATATCAGTCCTATCAGTAACTCTGAATGGCTTAACTAACCTATTAAAAGAAAAAGATTTTCAAATTAGCTCATAAAGCAAAACCAACTCTATATTGTATATAACACACACATTTATTTTTAATAACACACACATTTAAAACACAGTGATTCAAAACAGCAAAAATATAAAGAGATAGGTAAAGATACACTGAGCAAATTAAAAACAATAAGGAAGCCAGGATTGTAATCCTGATATCAAGAATTCTTCAAAATACATTAAACTAGATAAAGATACTTTATAATGCTATAAGCCACAATTCACAATAAAGATATAATGGTTATGAATACTTGTCTACCAAGTAACACAGAAACCACCTATGTAAAGTAAAAACTCCAAGAGATGCACGGAAAGTAGACAGAAAGACACTAATAACAGGAGATTTTAACATACCACTCTCAATGCAAGACAGGTTGGTGAACAAAAATAAGTTAAAATATAGAAGATTTAAAAAGCATAATCAATAAAGTAAATCTTATGGGTATATATCAAACACTATACCCTTATAACAGACAATATGATGAACTAAGAACATCTTGTGCCAGAAAGAAAGAGCTAAAACAAATGATGGCAGCATGCCAAAAAAGCAAGGAAGGGCCAGCCCGGTGGCGCACTGCGCTAGTGCGCCGCTTGGGAAGCGCGGCGGCGCTCCCGTCGAGGGTTCGGATCCCACATACAGACCGGTTCCTGCTCACTGGCTGAGCAAGGCGCGGGGGCGGCACCGAGGGTTGCGATCCCGTTGCCGGTCCCGGTCCGGTACGGGGGCGACACTGAGGGTTGCGAACCGTTGCCGGACACAGAAAAAAGACAAACAAAACAAAACAAAAAACAACAACAACAACAAAAAAAAAACAAAAAAGCAAGGAAGCCAGCTTGAAGGAACTCCTACTGCTCAAATCTGGAATAATTTGAACATCAAACTGAATAAGGACAGTGATAAATTATCAACACACTGAATAAAATAGGAACCTATGAGTCTTTACTGATAATAAACAGGCAGATAAATAAATGCATAAATGGGATAGAAGTGTGGGCTTTTCCTCAGCATACAAACTGATAAATGTGGAAGGAGCACCGCAGTTGGAAAATACTTTTGTAACTATGTTAAAGGTGAGGTTGAGAACATGCATCAGTGGATGCTAAATCTAAAGCAGCAAGTTTGATCTGGAACAGGATAGTTACACGGTCTAGAGTCTCTCCATAGACTGCTTATCAGCTGCAAGGGAAAAAAAGTGGAATACAGTAGAGAAACCAGACAACATCTAGATTGCATGATCAAATTCATACCACCGGTGAAAGAAAGACAAACACAGGGCATCTTAGGATGCGATACCCTGAGAAGGACATAATATCACTTGTGTGGTATTCTGGCAGAGGATGAATAATGAACTATAGAAATGATACCTGAAAGTACAGTCTTTGCTGGGGATGAGTAACCTAAATCTAATCATGAGAAAACATCAGACAACCTAAATTGGAGAACATTCTATTAATGTATTCTCCAATAATGTCACCGTGGTGAAAGAAAAAAAAGCTGAAGAACTATTCCAGATTATGACAAATGACAACTAAGTGCAATATATGATCCCAAACTGCATCTACTACTGAAAGGGAAAAATACTATAAGGAGATAATTGGAACAATGAACAGAACTGGAATATGAACTATAGATTAGATAAAGAGCATCAATGCTTAATTGTATCAACATTTTATGACTTTAATTTCTAAAAGAGTGTATCTTTGTTTGTAGGAAATACACAATAAAGTACTACAGGTAAAAAGGCATGATGTCTGCAACTCAATCTCAAATGGTTCAGAAAAGAAGTGTGTGGGGGGGTGTATGTGTAGAGGGGGTGGGGGATGAGAGGGAGACAGTATGATAAAGAAAATATGGCAACTGGTGAATCTGGGTAAAGGTAGTATAAAAGAATTCTCTGTATTATTTTTGCAACCTTTCCATAAATATGAATTTTTAATATTTTTTATTTTTTGAGCAGCCGGATGGTACCAGAAACCGAACCCTCAACCTTAGTGTTACAAGGCTGTGATCTAACCAACTGAGCTAACCGGCCAGCCCCAATATGAATGTTTTTTCTGAGAAAAATGTCATTGGAATTTTGATGGGGATTGCATTGAATTTGTATATCACTTTGGGTAGTATGGACATTTTCACTATGTTGATTCTTCCAATTCAAGAGCATGGGATATCTTTCCATCTTGTATCCTCTCTAATTTTTCTCAGTAGTGGTTTGTAGTTCTCATTATAGAGATTTTTCACATCCTTGGTTAACTCAATTCCTAAGTATTTTATTTTTTTGGTGGCTATTGTAAATGGGCAGGCTTTCTTGATTTCTCTTTCTGCATGTTCACTATTGGAGAATAGAAATGCTACTGATTTTTGTGTGTTGATTTTGTATCCTGCTACTGTGCTGAAATCATTTATCAACTCCAAGAGTTTTTTTGTAGAGGCTTTAGGCTGTTCGATATATAGGATCATGTCATCTGCAAATAGGGACAGTTTGACTTCATCTTTTCCAATCTGGATGCCCTTTATTTCCTTCTCTTCTCTGATTGCTCTGGCTAGTACTTCCAACACTATGTTGAATAGAAGTGGTGAGATTGGGCATCCTTGTCTGGTTCCTGTTCTTAAAGGAG